TATTAGAGATTGCTGGTTCAGCTCCTTCTTTAGTGTCTGCTTCTTCTTCATCTTGAGTGTTATCGCTCGGTGCAGATATTATCCCTTTACGTTCAACGAACTTGTCGTCGTGCAAGCATGTAGGATGTTTCCTTTGACATTTTTCGCATGTGATCCTGGCATCACACTCCTTCGAATGATGTCCTCTCTTCAAGCATCTAAAACACAGTCTTTCTGCTTGTGCAAACTGGATACAATCTTGGACCGGGGTTTCTGTGAATTTGAAACATTTATCGAGTGTGTGACCGTTTCCTTTGCAGAAAAGACAGGTTATAGTATATGTGTGGCTTGAGTTTGTTGTTAATGTTTTTGCTTGAATGACTTGGCCGCCTGAGTGTTTGAGCTTACTCATTTCCAAACCTTTGAGAGCTTGTGCTGAGGCTATGGGATCACAAGCTAAGTCAGCTTCAGTGGATATAAAATCAACAAACATGTGAAAGGATGGATACCTTTCATCGCCAGCCTTTGTCATTTTCATGGCTTTCCGGTTCCATCTTGCGGTCAACGACTCTGGAAGTTTTAGCAAAAGTTTCTGAATATCCATACAGTCATTGAGAACCTCCAATGTCGTTACGTGTGACATTGCAGCTTCACAAGTCTTAAGGAAATCAGCAAACTCTCTCAACTCACTTCCATCCTTGGAGTTTATTTTAGGCCAATTGTTAAGCTTGTCTCTAAAACATTTTCCTATGGTGAATGGTCTTCCAAAACGCTTTTCTAGCACTTTCCAAGCTGAATCGTATGCTTCATCTGTGCCCAATAGGAGAAGGTCTTCAACCGCTCTCTTCGCTGGTCCACCGAGGTATTTTCTGAGATAATAAAGTTTCTCATTCTTTGGAATGTTTTTTTCTTTCAATCAGGATTTCAAATGATAACTGCCAGTCCTTATACTTTAAAGGGTCGCCAGTAAACAATGTAGGTTCTGGAGTTGGAAGACGATTAGCATTTATTGCTTCCGCTAGTATGCTAACTAGCTCATAATTCGGCTGTTGTTGAATTGCAACGGAGGAGACTCGTGTAGCTTGAGGGATGAATGGTGGGCTTGATGCTTTGCGTGCTTGGTTTGTGGTGACCTCAAGTTGGTCACCAGGATTTGGTTGAGCTTGGTTTATAACTGCAGGAATGTGCGGCACAGATCCAAAGTGAGTTTGTGTGGCTTGTGGGATGAATGGTGGGCTCGATGCTTTGAGTGTTTGACTTGTGGCATTATGGACTTGGGTCAAACTTAGAGCTTGAAAGGGAACGTGTGTTATGACAGGGATTGCTTGGAATTTGCTTTCTGTTCTAATACTGCATAGTAAACTCTGACCTTCAGAAATACCTTCACCTTCATTGTAAACCTTTGCTCGAGCCTTTGCTGCATTCAGTTTTTTAACTTCTTCCAAGCGTGTAATCTTTCTGTGCTGCTCTTCTATTAGTTGCTGTCTTTCGAGATTTTGCTGGTCGATTACTCGCTGTCTTTCGAGCTTCTGCTGTTCCATTGCTTGCTGTTCTTCAAGATTCTGCTGGTCAATTACTCGCTGTCTTTCGAGCTTCTGCTGTTCCATTGCTTGCTGTTCTAAAAGATTCTGCTGGTCGATTACTCGCTGTCTTTCGAGCTTCTCACGTTCTAACCTTTGTAGTTTAGCTGTTTCCCTTTCTTGCTCCTCCATTATTGCCAATACCTCTTTAGATGCAGCTGCTTCGGCCTCTGCTTCCAGTCTCTTGCTTATTTGTGAGCATGACTGACTTGAACTACATCTAGACCTTCGTGATCTTGACCTTGATGTGGTACTTTCAGATCCCAGGCATGACCCTACATCTGGCCACGGATCTTCTTCGCTTTCTGGAAGGTGTCCTTTAAGTTGGTTTTCAGCTCTTTTGACAATACATGCAGAAAGTGATGTACATACATCTACTTTGCGCCTTGCGTCTGCATCAGGAGGTTGTATTTGTCGCATTT